TATATATATATATATATATATAAATAAAAACTGGGGGGTTTGGTACATAGCCATTCTCATGGCTCAGCTTTGAACCCTCCTCAGTTAATGGTCCTTCTGACCCTATGGATCTGTTCAAAGCCATGCCATTAAAGCTCCTCCCCTCTAACTTGAGCTTCTTCTGCATTTCCATTTCATTTTTGGAATCTCATATCATCCGGCCTGAGAGATTTACACATTGGGCACATCATCATTTATGCATACATTTTGCAGGCTTGGCACTTGGTCTAAATTTACCTCATGTAGAAATAGTTTTTCCTCCAGGAAATGCTCTTTCCTGAATTAACATACTACCCTAGATGTACAGGGTTCTTCCTGGCTGTGTCACAATCCTACTGAGCCTCTGGCTATGCAGTTTACCTATATCTATGAAAACATAGGAAACAACAGGTTGTGCTTGAAGCATGCCAAGGGCTTCATTGGAGGTGTATCCACGTCCACATAAACTCCTTTTTTTTATCCACTGATGGCTTTGGCTCCTATATAAGGATATGTGAGAAGGCAGGACTGCTTAGGGTGGTCATCAGTTCAAGTCAGAGACAGGTTACTCCATGGTACAGCAGAGAGAAGAGGGGTAGATCTAAAGATGGTAAAGTAGTTTAGAAGGGAGAAGGAGTAGCAGTGCAGTACAGGTACTAGAGTCCCCTCCAGGAATTCATAAATGCATAGTAGGTCCAGCTATTAAGGGAGGTAGGGCCAGGCAAAGTATATACCTGGTTAAAAAGGAGGCTAGAAACTACTCTTCTGGGTAGTAACTGTGACTGGGCACAAGGCTAGGAAGAGGGGTGGCATTGTGACTATGCATTCCCAAGAACATTTTTCAAGGCATTTGCCCAGAATGGCCTGAAAGATACTCTTTCTGGTTATGAGACTTTGAGTATTCCTAGATTAGTTTTGGACACCCTTTACATGTCTACAGTGTGCTGGTATTCACAATTTTGGTGTGAAAGGTTGTACCCCTTTCTTGTTTGTGGTAGGCACTTATATTAAAAGAATTGTCCTGGTCCTCATGTTTTTAAGTATAAACCAAATTAGGATGGGAGGGCATATTCACCCCTCAACCTCTGTGTAGCCACCATTCCAAATTTCACTGTGGGAGATGAAGAATGGGAAAGAAAAAAAGAGAGACAGTGTGTTTTTGCCCCAAAGTAGCAGCAACATGATCTTCTAGCCCTGTGTTCTCCATGTCTGGAGACCCCTGCATTCAGCTCCCTACTTTGAGGGTCTGTTACTCTAGTTTACGTTATACAGACATTGGCTAACATCTAAAAGGAGTTCAAGGTTACAAAGAGGATGCCAGGTAATTGTTCCAGTCACTAGATTGAAGTGTCATACTCCCTATTTAACTGCCTTTTTCCCAATGAATCTTGAAATTTTAGTCACAGTACTTTAACATACTGTTGGAGGTTCCCTTACTCAGGCTACATTGTGGGCATGAATCACATTTCTGAAGGTGGCATATGTGGATTTGAATGTCAGTAGTTAGAGGAGAAATCAAACCTGGGTCTTTTCTTTCCTCAGTGAGTGTCCTAATTGCAGGACTTGCAGTGGTGCATGGTCCTCCCTTTAAAACACCCAATCCAGCCAGCAGGGTGACACCTTGGGGACTGAGAAGGGAGCAAGAGCACTTGGAAGAGGGCACTTGGTCACCACCACTGCCGCTGACCAAGCACCAACCACATGGAGCCACTCACTGAAATGGCACAGGAGCACCCTGGGGATTCCTCTGACCCCACATCAGATGGGGACAGTGGTGACAGGTCCCTACTTCCAGCATCAGGAGGGAAACCCTGATAGAGAGGGGGAGCTGGGCATTGGAAGGGAGGGCAGATGCCTGTGCTGGATGGTAGAGGGTGTTGAGAGTTAGGGGAAGAAGTCCAACTTCTGCAGGGACTCAAAAAAAATCCATGGCACTGTCACCATTCACAATCTAATTGTGGGGGACAAGGGGCTTCAGCCATGCATGTGGCATCATTTGTACTGCTTGCACCCCTGCCATTTTGAATTCTTAGCTGTGTGCAGGATTTGATAGTCTAGTGGTTAGGGCACTATTCTACAGCTTTGGGAGATGGGAGAGGAGGTTTTGAATCCTCAGCCTTAGAGTGACTTCAGATTCCTATTTCTTACTTCTTGACTGAATGCTCTAACATCTCAACTCTTAGGTACACAATGGCTGTCTTTTCCTCCCCAGTATAGTGAACTCAGCTCTATCAGTGTGAGTTGGGGGCTGTGAGGGTGCCTACTAGGCTGGGGTTCTACAGAGTTTTAGGCAGGGCCTAGGCTGCTCTTCCGCTCTGATCGGGAATGCAGCAGAGGTTAGGTAGCAGACAGGGAGCAAACCCAAATATGCATTTCTGAAGTAATGACACAGACTGCAGGCACCTAAATTACTCCATAGAGTCCTAATGCACTCTGCACTATAATCACAAAATCACTTGGACATCTAGGTGTCTTACACATCTTTGGGCCTTCGGAACATGTTCAGTCACTTACTGTCTGCTGAGACTCTACACACAGAACACACTGGAGGGTAGGGTTAGAATTCAGAGAGACCTTGAGAAATTGGAAGATTGGACTGAATGAAATCTCATGAGGTTCAACAAGGACAAGAGAAAAGTCTTGCACTTATAAGTCTTGCACTTGCACTTAACAATCCCAGGCACGGGTAAAAGCTGGGGACCAACAGGCTAAGCAGAAGCTCTGCATAAAAGGACCTGGGGGTTACAGTGGACAATAAACTGAATAGGAGCTAACAATGTGCCCTTCTTGGAATGAAGGCTAATGACATACTGGGTAGCACTAGTAGGAGCACTGCCAGCAAATCGAGGGAAGTGGGTCTTCCCCTCACACTGGTGAGGCCACATCTGGATTATTGTGTCCAGTTCTGGGCTCCTCTCTATGCAAAGTATGTAGATAAATTGGAGAGAATCCAGCAAGAGGGCAACAGAAATGGTTAGAGGGATGGAGCACGTGAGTCCTGAGGAAAGGCAGAGTGGGGTGCGTTGAGTTAAGATGCAAGCCTACCATTCTCTTTGTTCTATAGATGGTCATTTGGGTTAGGTATAGAGGGGAAAGGTAGATCCCAGCATTGCCCAGAGCAGGGCAGGAATTTTGTCCAGTTCAGGGCAGAGCTAGAGCCCAAAAAGAGACAGAGACTAGTTTCCAAGGGCCCAGTTCCCTAGTGGGTGAGATTGGGACCAGGGCCCAAGATTGGGAAGGACAAGGCAAGGGGCTCACACCCAATAAACTAAGGTCCAGTGCAGTGGGCCAAAGCAAAAGGGACCAGTGAGAGCAGAGAAGCAAACACTGAGGAGGCCAGGGCCCCAACAAGGGAAAGTGATTAGACAATAACACCTGCAAGGCATGAGCATGGCTCTAGTAGTAACTGGAGGCCACAAATACAGCCCTTAAGGCATTTATTATTGAGTGAGACTGAGCAAGACTGATAGAGACAAGACACTAGACAAGAGATCTGCTGGGGGTCCTCAGCAGTCTCCTAACATTTATTCCTCTAAAAGTAACAATGAAGTCATGGCACGTGACAGAAAGAAAAGAGCCCTTGGACCAATCAAGCAGAAGTTTTATGGACACATGGAAGTACCACAATGCCATTTTCCCTCCTCCTACTAAAGATGACTTCCACCTACCCTGGTCTATGCTATGTGTCTTTTATCTGGTTCTTTTAAAAAATACCACCATCATCATCATACCACACTATGGTTCATCAAGGACCTCAGGAATGAAGTGCTTACAATCAATTTTAAATTGAGAGAATATCATCCCCTAAATTTCTGGGTCCCCTTCAGGAGGACAGGCTTCTTACTAAACCACTGGACAAAAATATATTTTGGGATCTATACTCTAGTTTCACTAGTAGAGTTGTTTGGTGTAACAATGTATACTGAATTAATTACATCCTGAATTTTAGCCTATTTCAATGGGAGTTCAAATAATAGTCAGGCTTCACTGAGATACTGTGACTTAACAATGTTTTAAAGTCCAGCTAAAACACTTGGGTTGATTCTCTCTCTCTATATATGACATTTTCTTCATTCAGTGGCAGATACAACCCAGGAAGGTTTTACAAAAAAAATCATCACCATTTATGTTCTAGCATCATCCAGGTATATGTATTCAGAATACCCAAATAGAATGTTTTCCATACTTCCATATTTTCAATAGATTTATTTTAAATCTAAAATATTGAAAATTTCTCTTTAAAGTTTTTGTTGTTGTTGGTTTTTGGTTTTTTTTTTTAATCAGTTGAGAACATGATTTTTTTTTGGAAAATTCTGCCTAAGGCTGTTTTCACTGCTTTCTTTTTCAGTCTACAGATGATGGGGTTTAACATGGGAGTTAAGATGCTGTATTGGATAGAAACAACTTGATCTAGGATAACTGAAGAAAAGGATCTGGGTTTTAAGTACTGAAAAACAACTGTTCCATACAATAAACCCACCACAATTAGATGGGAGCTGCAGGTGGAGAAGGCTTTACATCTCCCCTCTGAAGAGCACATACTAAAGATAGTGGAGATGATATGGACATAGGACATTAACATAAGAATAAAAGAGCCAGCACCAATGATCACAGCAGATGAAAAAAGAGCTACATTGCTCATGATTGTCCCAGTGCAAGACAGTTTTATTAATGAGGGAAGCTCATAGCTAAAATGCCCAATTTCACTGGGCCCACAGAACTGCAACTTTAATACAGGAACTGTGTTAACCAGTGAATGCATGAGACTTATTGTCCATGAAACACCCACTAGCTGCCTGCACACTTTTTTGTTCATAGTTCCTCCATAATGCAGGGGGTTACAGATGGCAGCATAATGGTCATAAGCCATTACTGACAGTATAACTAGTTCACAAGTACCTGATAAAAGGAGAAAGAACATCTGAGTGAAGCAAGCATTGACAGAACTAGTTTTATGCTTTGCTAGTAAATTCACCAGCATCTTAGGGACAACAGTTGAGGTGTAACATATATCAACAAAGGATAGGTGAGAAAGAAGAAATACATGGGGGTATGAAGGTGAGAATCAGCTCTTATCACCAACATAATGACTGCATTCCCCACTAGGGTGATAAGGTATATCACAAAGAACAGTAAAATTTGAAGTTGTGGGTCACTAGAAAGTCCCAAGAGAATAAACTCAGTCACAGTGCTTTGGTTTTCCATTCCTAGATAGCGACCTGTAAGAAAAGCAAAACACTTTGAAATAACATTATGACACAGGAAGGAATTTCCATAAGACTGAAATAAGTATTTCAGGGGCCTACATGAACTTTTTAAAGCTAGATGATGGGCTTGAATAACCAAACTGGCTGAAAAGCAGGTTTCCAGCTCACAGGAAATTTTACTTTTTAGAAATCTGTTTTTGATGCAAGTCAGAATATTTTAGCCACCGATTTCCAAATCACAACATGCTGTTTGAGAGCCAAAGAGCTATGCTGCTTCATCTAGGTTTTATAGGATCCACGTGCCCACTCTTTGGCAGGGAACCTAGAAGTTCGAAGAGACGTGGCTCTGGCTGGGATCCCCCAGGCTTGTAGATGATCTGTTTTGGAGCAAAGGTAATTTTCATTTATAGCCAGATGGGGGATTGTGGATTTATAGCAACAAAGCTATAGCAACAAAGCTGCAAGACCTATCCTGATGATGGTCAAGACCTGGGCACTCTAGAATCTCTGGGTACCTAGAACATGGACAGTTCACCTGATGGCACCGTCTTTAAGGCAAGGCTTGAGAACAGACTCATTGAGTGGACAGTTCTTGGAGAAGGACACAAGTCGGCTAATGCCTTCTGGCTGAGAGGAAAGCTTCCTATTACAGGGCAAGGCAGCATGTTTCCACACAATGTCCCACACAATGTCCCAAGCAATTTCCTATACAAGGTTAGTCTACAAAGCATATCGATCAGAAACTTGCTTCTGATTCAATAAAAGGGAGTCAACCCCAATGTGATCTGCATGAGAAGTGCTCAGATGCAATGAATGATGATTTTTCCCATGGATTTTACCACAAAAAATGACAGCCAACTGTGCCAGGTCATATATCAGTTTCACACTCTATGTAGCTGAACAAAATAGAAGGAACTGGTCTGATTTTAGTATTAACTGTAACTAAGCAGGTGTCAACAACTTGTCCAGTGAGTTTTTTCGTATTCAGCCTCTTGTGAGCCATCAAAAAAAGAATGATTTGGGGACATTGCCCACATAATCATTTCATTCATAAAATCTCATTTGGTCCACTCCAAAACCATTCTGAGAGGTTGCAATGGGAAAATATTATGGAAGAAATTGAAAATCATCACCTAATTACTGTGGCTATACCTAGATGATTTCTGAAACATGCCAGAATCAAAGTCAACATGTCTTCTCTTTCAATAGGTCTGGCTCACTGTTTTATTCCTGCAGCTTTTCATCAGTACAACTCTCATTGCTTAAATGTAATTATCTCAGTAGAGAAGTGATGTTAAAGCAGAGGCACATGAAGCTTTGTGTATGATAGGTCTGTAATTTTCAATGAACAATAACAAACACACTGCTATTGGCTGTTTTTCATTCCTGCACCTTAAACATATGAGATAAGAACATTTATAGTTGTTCTCTTTTTTTCTGGAGGGAGATTATAGGATGAGGTCCTCCTAATAGATGATCCATTTCAGAAACCTCCAAGGCTCCTGAGTGCCAGAAACTGCAAGCCAGCACTTTCAATCTCCTTGAAGTATCTCAAATTGTCCACTTAAAATTTATAGATTCATAGATGCTAGGGTCGGAACGGGCCACAATAGATCATCAAGTCCGACCCCCTGCATAGGCAGGA